CGCGAACATCATGTGGTCACCTGGGATGTCGGTGGCATCGAACAGGTCTCGCTTGGGGAATCCGCAGACATCAGTCCAATCCTAGGTGTGTCTGTTCCCAATAGAGGCCCACTCCTAGCCGAGACCCGCAGTCATAGGCGTGCAGCGGGCCCACAGGCGATGTTCGGGCGATCGGCAGTCGCAGGAACTGAGACCGCGAGATGTCCGCAGATACCCAAGCGATACCCATTTGATGCCGTAGGCATCCCAAGTGACCGCGTGATGTTCGTGGGTGCTTCCAGCGCGACCCACGCTCGAGACCTACGAAGCTCCAAACAACCTGTACGCAGGACCCACGAAGCTTCAGACTACCCGCGCGCTGTATACGCATCCCAACAGCCACAGAAGACTAGGTCAACACAGTAGGCCCCTAGGGGCGACCCAATCGACCCGACAGCCTTTCAGGGGCAGCCGCGCGACCCCACTGCATACCAGGTGTAGCCGTGAGCCACCCCAGCGAGCCAGACAAATCCAAACCCCAACTTGTGCGTGTCGGCAGTAGCCGTAAGCCGAGCCGAACCTATTATTAAATTCTTTGCCAAGACGTTAGCCTTTTTCTCGAGACCCAAATTAATTTTTAGTCGAGCCTTGAATTAGTTATCCGATAGTCTTTTTTCAAAACCCTTAAGTCGAGCCTAGAATTTAAATTTAATTAAATTAATTTCATAATTTGTATTTATATTATGTGTAAATATTATGCTTAAGTTAAATAAATTTTATCATGTTGATATTAAGAGGTCGGTTTCTTGAGGCGTGCATTTGACCTTTCATTTATTTCGAGTACTTCAAGTCGAGGTGGGGATACTTATACTACATTCTTATTTTTGTTAATTGCAAGGTATGATGATTGCAATGTGTTATGAAGGCTAGACCTTCGGGTAAACTACCAGGACCTTCAGGTAATGAGCTAGGCCTTCGGGCAAAGTGTTAAAGTAAACTACCAAGACCTTCGGGCAAAGTATTCAAGTAAATCACCAGAGCCTTCGGGTATTGGGCTAGGTCTTTGGGCAAGGTGGTGGAAAAATTATTTACCAGGTGCATATGATAATTGTGATATCTGTTATTAGCTTAACTAATTGTGCAGTATGGTTTCCTAACTAAGTCGTTCCATACTCACCCCTTTACTTAACATTTTCAGGTTGACAAGTTGGTGGCGGGACTTAGGATGGTGTGGTGGTCATTTTCGAATTGTTCGGCACTTTTATGTTTAGTTGATGAATTGCTCATTTGAATTATGATTTGGTGGTTTTGAACTTGTGACTTATTATTTTTAGTTATCGTGCTTTCATGACTTGGAGTATGGATTAAAGGCATTCGATTTTCCTTTCGACTTTGATTATGATATGGTACTTATGGGTATGATTTGAGTTTTGAGAATATGATAAAGTTGTCTAGTTGTGTTCACGAAGTTTAAGTTACTAAGTTGTTTCTGAGTTATATTATCAGAATGCGTAGCGATGAACATTGAAACACCTTTGTGTTTAAAATTTAAAATGTTGATTTAACATTATTTTCAAATTTCGTTGACGCCCGTTTAGATTACAATATTCACCTTTTGAAAATCGGGGCGTTACACAAGCAATCTCACACAGATGAACAAATCATCTCCTCATCACCACCATACATAGCCCTTTATATATATTTCTCAGATATCTATCTCATAATAGTGATCTTCGTAGATCATTCACTATGTAATATTCAGTTGTACACATTTTTCCAATTTCACAATGATATTCCAGAGAAAACATCCCCTTGCCGATCGCCACATCCGATCGGCAAAATCAGTGTCTTGCTTTATTTTTATTCATATTTATCTTGTTGCAATCTCCCCCTATTCTATAACACCAAAACAAACCATAATTATATTGCAACCCCCGATTAATCATCCTTAAAAATATTGATCGTGACCGTTAGCTAACCTACCGTCAACAACGTTCAATTTGGATATGCGTCAACTAAAGTTGGGAATGTTTTTCTAATATCGTAAATTATACTGTTGACATGGATATGGATTATAATGTATCATTTACTTTTTTTTTTCATTATGTTATACGAAAACTCTACGATATATCAAACTTATTTTGCAGTTCTGCGAAGTTCCTTTCAGTTGAACATTTTTGCTTCGAACATTGTCTTTGATTTTTCATTACCATGCAAAACATTATTTTAACACATGATCACCACTGTCATCGTTAGCGCCATCATCGTCTATGTTTTTCCCCCATATTAGATTGTCAATCAAAGCACCAGGCTTGCCCTCCAAGTCGATCATCGTTGCGTTGCGCTCGGTAAAAACCGTGTAACACTCACGATACAAAGAAAATCTGTACAAACGGATAAATGTTTGAGCGCCCGTCTCATGTGTATTGAGTTTGAATTTGTTTGGATTACGACTGCGTAGCAAAAATGCATGAACAAATTAAAATGAAAAAACAATTTACCTCCTCGCCTACATACAACTAATACTTGTGGTTAACACTAACAAGACCAAATCACCACGCTCTAGGATGCTTGGAATCATCAGGAAACTTGGAAATTCATCGAAATACTCCCGCTGAATCATTTCACGTACTTGGACAACAGAATACTCGGTCCACCCCACGCCATGAATTATAAATAGTAATAATGGTGGTATATATAATTAACTAACTAATGAATAAGTGCATGTCATTTGTCAAAGTTTTTTGCGTGAAAAATCAGACAATCAAAGCGGTGCATAAAATGTACGGAACATTTTCGTTAGATATGCGATTCATGATATGGATCAACGAAAAAATGGTGGATAGTCCTAAATTAAGAGGCTTTCGATTTGGATGTGCAATATTTGAATATGCGGCATTACGCATAATGGTTAATTATACGACGCTATAGATTTGAATATTCGAGTGATAAAATGCAAAAATGTATCACATAATTATAAAATGTGCGACGTTCGATTTGAATATGCGATATCTTAAATGCGAAACGTTATTGCATATGGTAGATTAAGCAGTGAATTTATACCACGTTCGATTTGGATATGCAATAACGAAAATGCGAAATGTCTCGCATATGGTAAATTATGTGGTGGATCTGGATCTGCAAGTCGTAAACTATGTGAAAATATAACGCAAAACATAAAATATATAATGTTCGATTTGGATATGCAACAACAGGATATGCGAAAAGTTATCGTATATGGTAATTATGAAGTAGATTTGCATATGCAAGTCGTGCACTATGCGAAAATGTCGCATAACATAAAATATACTACGTTCAATTTGTATATGCGATAACAAAATATGCAAAAAATTAACGCATATGGTAATTATGTGGACTTGGATATGCGAGTCGTAAACTATTCAAAAATATATCACATAATATAAAATATGTGACGTTAAATTTGAACATACAATAACAAAATATGCTAAACATTTTTCACATGGTAAATTATGCAGTAGATTTCAATATGCGAGTCATAAATTATAATAAAACATATTGCAGAGTCATAAATTATAATAGAACATATTGCATAATCGCTAAATATGCGACTATTAATTTTAAATATTCGATAATTATAAATGCAAAACAGTTTCGCATATCATAAATTATATGGTGATTTTTTTTTTCCAATGATATAAAATCTCCATAAAAAGCCCAAATAAGACGTATGAGAAAGTATTTCACATAATATTTAGAGGAAATTACGCCACGTACGAGTCCAAGAGATTTTTATTATATACATACGCTATTTAAAAGTTATTTGCAAATATACCATAATTGAGAATCTTAATTGTATTTGAACAAATTATGTTTCCTTTTTCTTCAATTTTTAGTTTTTGTTGTTTGCTTTTTCTATGGTTAGTGGCGTGTTTAAAGGAATTTTATGGGGAGTCAATAACTACATTTCAATCAATTACATCTTCTTTCTCTTTCCTCTCACTTTCATTTTTTTCTTCTTTCCCCAATTTCTTCCCCCTTTTTTTTCTCCAGATCTCTCCCTTCATCCCAATTTACAGAGCTCCATGAAAAAGTGCAGAGTCCGACTACTTCAGTTGAGGACGATCTTGCAACCGGCAGCGACAGGACCTGGGAGCGACTCGGTCTGAGAGCGGCGCAGTTACTGGACCTTAGACGATTGAGGGGTTCGACCATCAGCGGCGACCGCGCGGGTTCGGCTGCAATCCTCACCGCCTCTGAATTGGAAAAATTGAGCCCTAATCCCCCCAGATAACCGCAACAACAAACTGATCCCGATTGCAGCTCATTGAGTTCAAGGCATTCCATGCTCAATTTCGTTCAAGCCACTCATCAATTTTCCATGGCGATTTACTGTAGATCAATCTCCTCGATTTTTCATGTATATATATTGTATATTTTTCGTATATATACTGTTTATATTTTGTATATGTTGCGTTTCTCCACCATCTCGTTGATTAGAAAATGACCCTAGGTATTGTATATTTTTTGTATATATACTGTTTATATTCTGTATATTTGCTGCTCGTGATGGGACGACGATGCTCGTGATGGACGACGCTGCTCGTAATTGTTCAGTTCAATTTTTTTTTTAATTAATGAAAGAATCCCGTCAGTTACGGAATTCATGGGATGGTAACTCCTTATTTTTTGTTTGGCAGTTATATTTTAGTTATCTAAATAATTATGTTAACCTAGGCATACGTGCAAATAAGTTTTAATTTTTGTATTTATGCAATTATTTTAAAATCCTTAACGTAGAAGTGCAAATTACCCTAATATTTATCCATAAAAAGCCCAAATAAGACATATGAGAAAGTATTTTGCATAATATTTAACCATCCGTTTGATTTGGATATGCATTCATATATATATATGATACATATTTCGCATAAATTGTTGATCGAAAATTCTATAGAACCATCGAATGGTTTTTTTATGGAGTCATCCACCACTTTAATGTATTAACACCTGTCCAAAGTGTATTTATTGCAGGACACGTGTCAATACACTATTGGTGAATAAGTATGGATGACTTTATAAGCCGAGCCATCCGATAACTCCATAACAAAACTGAATTGTTGATATACATGCAACATATCTTGCATAATTATTAATTATGCGGTTCATTTGAAGTGACAAAAGATGTTTTTTGATGGTACAATGTGTAAAAAAAAGACCATATATATATTGAGGTATAAAAAATGCCGGCCAGAATATTATCTACAGCAGGTTTGAGCTCTTTCAACTCGGCACATCTATTCACTCACCCAAAGCATCAAAGAGACTTTGACCCATAATTTGCGGCAAGACCATCATCTACAGGCTTTCAAGTTATCACTACTTTGCCGTCAGCCTGTTTGGCTTGGACCATCGTTGATAATTTCATTTCAAAATGTAGTGAAATAAATACCACGCAGTAAGACGAACACATATACAACAATGAAAGTAGAAAGCAAATCCCCTCAACAAGCATCTGTACATGTCGTTATTTACTGGTGGTTCAGACGAGCTTCCAGCAGCAGCACCTGCAGCATTTATTGACTAAACACCTGCTGGATACAGTGAGGAAATTAGTAAACAAGAAGCATCTACGCGTATAAAACCAAAGGACCACAACAATTGTGAATAACAGGAAACCAACACAAAAATGCACAAAATGAAACTCCCTAGGAGACACTAATCATCCGACGATACGTAACAAAAGTTATTTGGAGCCAAATCACGATGGTTTGTGCCATCATCTTCTTGCTACTCATTCCACAACTGCACATATTGAATTGATTTACAGGAGATTGCACAAAACTTCAAAACTGGGTATCGAACATTATTAACTTTTCCTTTTATCATTTGAACTAAGTTATTTCTACAAAAACATAACGATCATATAATTTGTTTAAACTAAATGCCGCTTTCGTACAACTTCATGCACAACACATTACAAGGTTAAGCATATTTTAGTCCCTTTTAATTGCACACATGCTTGCAATCATGTCACTACTAAATATCCGATTACAGAAATACAGATTTGAGTATCATTAATAATTAAGAGCAGAGGTCAGTCAGGTTCAGGACATCCAGGATGGTGTTACAAAATTCTAGAGAACATAAAACATCCAAAATTTTTCTGCAAGATGCAAGATGTGCAACTTATTCATAAATGCTAAAGAAAACACAAACAGAACAATACCTAAATATAAATTCAGAAGGTAGAACACGATCAACTTTGAGTGCACTCAAACGGATGGAAACTTCCTTCAGCAAACTCATGCATCCTGAAACGCTCCAGAAATTCAAAAGGCCTGAAATAGCAATAAATGCGTGATAGAAAATCACACTCCAAGAAAAAAGGATGCAACTTAATTACAACTTCATGGATGGGCATTCTTAGCTTGCCGTGCATATAAGAAAACAAACACACTCCCACGAAATACCCACAATGTCATTGGATCATAAACCCAGAACATGAAAAATAATTGAAGCAGGTTAGAAAATATAAAGGTTAAATCCAAAACATATGCATTACAAAATCGTCTCCCGAGTGCGGCATAATCTGCGCTGATTTTTCTCCATAGCATCTACTGGGTTTGAAGGCCCTTGTCTTGCTACATAAGAGGGGAGTACAGGATTTGGAGCCCATATCTGGATTCATTGCAGATGACGATTAAGCTAACATTTATGTTTGTAATCAATGAACTTTCAAAATAAATAAACTTTCCAACCTTTACGGTGTTGTCAATCCCACTAGTTGCTATGACAGAATCATATGGATGGCTCTGTATACAATTGACAACTGTGCAGCACAGCGGAGTAAGGACAAGATGAATATCATATGTCAAATTAAGCTCAATGAACTGATACCGAAGATAGGGTTAAACATAATGAGAGCCAGAAAGAAAAGAGTCAGATTTTACACAGGTTGGTGCTGAATCTCACAAGAGGCCTGATGGTCCAATTCTAGCAATACATAATCCTCTAGGTAGATATCTCAAGAGTAAAAATGGTTACCCAAAGAGCCAAAATTTCTAGCATAAGTTTTAAAATAGTGATATCTGTAGAGCCATTCGAAAGAGAAACTACAAAACTCAGCAGCCAGCCAATTGTGTTACTCAGTACTACCTTGGTCCCAAACTAAATGTATTTTAGGCTTATTAGGCTCCCAAAGGCAAGTGCATTATTTTGTTTACCTTGAAAATTTTAATGGTGTCACTTCTGTAAATGCAACTCTTCAAAAATAGGCCTAATGACAGGAAATAACAAATATAATATGCATGCTGGCAGTGCTAGATGAGTGAGGGTTGTAGGGAAAAGAAAAAGATCGCCTTTTTAGACTTTACCTTAATTCATGTGTTGAACACTAAAATAAATTTAAATTGCGATGGAGGGAGTATCACATCATTGCAGCCCAATTGCTTTGTAAAGGTAATAGTAACAATGAGTATGGGCAACACATAAAAGTTAATCACTACAAGACGATTAGCAATATTGAATTTAATTATCTGCCAAATGGAAGTGCTGAGTTATTTTTTGTTTCATTTTATCCATTACTGCATGTTAGTGAGAGCGGTGGGAAGTAGGGTATTACCAGCATCATCTCCATGTAGCATCGTTATTAATCGGCCACTTTTCTTTTCCCAGATAAACCATTGACCATCGTCACTTCCACTGGCAATATATTCACCTGGATACAAGAGAACACCTGATGACAATATATTTTACATCTGTAATAGTCAATTTGATAACCATGATATATGAAATCGTCAGATAAAATTTCATGAGCACAACACCACTGTACAGATACAAGCATGTTGGTGTAACAAGATTCATTGGTACTTCGGCAAAAATTGGAAGAACAGTTCTTCATCAAAGGTTAGCTTATAAAGTTGTAAAATCATATGGAAGATTTGAGTTAAAATATGGTTTTAGATTTTTTGGATGTATGGCCTTTAATCCTTTGAACTAACGGACTGTACTGTATCCTCTACATAAAAACTGCTATTGACGACCAACAATCAGATTCATCACCTAACTATGAGCAATGATTTGACCGATGTAAGATTTCTATATTCCACTTCCTCTTATCCCTTCAATTTTTTTCCCGAACCCATTCCTTCTATTTTCTTTACTTTTCTTTCCTTCTCTTTTACGCAAACAATCCACTGTCACATCAGAATTGTCACCATTTCTAATCATTGACAGTAAAGCCACAGCAGGATGCAATGGCGGTCTTCAGTGGCTTGGATCCTCCCACAAGCAGATCATCATGGCCCGTCCAAACTCCAAACAAGCAGACTTGCTCCAGGAGGCCGCAGTACATAAATATACAATAGCATGTCTTAAAGAATTTTTTTCTGCAGTCTTGGATTTTATGACACAATCCTGTGATCTTCAATTTTTCTTCTGAACATATTGCACCATTTAAGAATTCACACATTCTCCTAATATTGCAGGCCACGAAGATATTTCGTCATTTGCATGTCGAGTAGCAAAAATCACAAAAAACAAATCGATGGTCCTTCCAACCACAAAAAAGACCGATAATAGCTTTTCATAACTGAAAAACTGTGAGATAAGGAAATGAATTCACTTATTTTTTTTTCCACAAGGGATAAACTGATAACTTAAATCAATAGTGTCTCATTTCACTCTTAGCAAGCATAATCGGCCCACATAAGGAAATCAATTGAATCAGAAAATCAAAATATTATGGCATGTGTACAAAGGTAAAGTGCAGAACTTAAAGTTCTCTTTCAAGCAGGGAACCTGAAACGTGACACACGTGCGCATGCGCGTACACAAGATCTGCGTAGCATTCAAATTTCAAAAGGAAACAGTAACCAGCAGAAAAGAATGACAAGTAAACAAGTGTACTTTTCCTTCTAGGGGATCATTCAAACAAATTGCACAAGCAAGATACAAAGAAGCTGCATGGAAAATCTTGAACATACCTCTTTGCCCAATAAAACTAGCTTGTTTTATATCAGTGCCTATATTACAATGGCCAATATATCTCTTCTTCATATCTATCGCCATCTCAGGCTGCATATGGGGAGAATAAAATTGTAAATATGGGAAAGATGCATCTAAAACACAATATAACTCAAACACTATATAGATCCTGAAACTTGGAAATATGCAATACATATTGTACTAAAATACAGGAAGTACCATCAAAATCACTTAAGGCAAATTTCCAAAAAATGATACACGTAGAACTTGACAACAGTTTTTTTAGCAAACATACAATCAGTACCTGATAAGGCACTTCAGGGTTTTCACATGACGAGACAGGAGCCCGAGACGAGCCATCGTGTCTCTCAGCTTCCGTGACCAAATTACCTCGCCTGTGAATTCTCAAATTTAAGTTTGTCGGAAGGACGGTGGAGTCAATATCATGCCCTGCTTCAGAAGGAAATGCTGTTTCAAAGTCCAATTCCAGCTCTTCTTCATAGTCAGAGTCCTCTCTTTCAGAATCATCTAGCAATGCTTCATTATCCCCTACAGAATGGTAGATTATGTCACTTATTGAAAGTGCTTTTGCTGCTTGATTGTTCGCCTTTATTCCCCTCTCACTTTCCAGGTTAGCTCTGTCAGCTTCAGCTACATATCAAGTGCTAAATATTATTCACAAGGAACAAATAGCTAGCCCGAAGCATTAGTAGCAGATGCTTAACTATCCAACACAATTCTTATAGAAATGGGTACTTTTTCAACAGTATTTACACTATACCCTAGCATGACACTAAAACAATGCTTAATATCAAAAGGATAGTAAGCCTGCTCAGGCTCTTTGGAGTTGGTGTATTAATTATGTAAAGGTGTGACGGATGTGGAGTTCCAGTCGCACATCTTGGCCATTTTCTTTATAGAAGTAGCAACTAGCAAGACCAACAAGAGGGCCGCAAGCAGATCAGAATTGATTGTCGAAGACGAAAGAGTAGCAGAAAAGATATCACAAGAAAACAGATCCCACAACCTATGGTGTGAAGCCAGAATTCCACCACCTTACCAGACTCTCTAAAGATATTCAAGCACATATTTATTCGTATATAAATAATTTCTTTTATTAACCCAATATAGCATCTTTTGACAAAGCAGTTTGATATCTGAATCTCAATGAAAACCAAAAACTAAGAAAAGATAACACGTTTCAGGCTATATGAGAGATAACATCGGGTCATATATTTTATAAGGCTTCTAAAAGCCTTCAGAGATAAAATGAATATACATATAGTTCGCTTTACAGTTTAACCTGAAGGGAGCCAGACGTGTTGAGAAACAAGAAACTAACAAATATCCAAACCTGCAGCAATACTCTTTTTGATTTTCTCCACCCTCTCCATTATCTCAGAATCAGAAGGAGCCATAGACTGAGATGCAATAGAAAATTCCAATGCTTCCTTATGTTTCTCCAACTGTCATGATCAACAGAGCCAACAAAACCAAACCTAGAATTAGACAGATTCAAATTTCTGTACAATTGCAGAATAGATCCTGTGATTGATCAAATATAATTGTGAGGACCACACACAATGTTTTATATACTGTGCTACATGAGTATCATGCAGACCTTCACAGGATCCTGTTTTTTACAATACAGGCAACCCATGGAATAATCTTAACACCTAGGTTGCACTAGGATTTACCTAGTATATAAGAAGATTTCATATCTGCGAACCCAGCATCTGAAACTTTTCTGGAGTTATTAAACTTAAAGACTTATCAGATCAAATAATGGTTACCGAAAATAGTGCCTCAGCCATGCAAATGACTGCTCTAGCTGATGAAGGATTTATTTTCCGAGCTTTCTGACAGTCCCTGATAGCCATGTGCGAGTCATTTTTCCACCTACGCTGTAAAGTGTTACAAGGATTGATTAAACAAAGAAAAACAGCAGCGGTTGTATGAAATCTTATAGACAAGTTTATTATACAACCTTGAGCAACAAGGATGCACGTATACATAAACACTCATGCATGAGAGTTGGCCCTATTTCATGACCATGACCATCCAAGACTTCATCACAAGCCTCAATGCCATAATAATAATCAGTTTCTCCTTTTAATGATTTTTCAGCAATCTGGATCAATTTTCTGCACCTATCAAGCTTAGAAAAGAAGAAGCACAATCAACAGCAGCCATGCAAACTGAGCTCATAAATCATGTAATGCAAAAGAAGGATAGGATTCATACCCTTGCAGCAGTTTTTTTTCTCAGAGGATAACCATTTGAAGATACACCAGAAAGAGATGAAGAATTCACTTCCCCTCCATCAAATATAGAACTCAAGCTAAAGAGATTCGTGAAATCCGCTGGCGTATAACTCATGGAAACCGCAGATGCTGCTTCAAAATATTATCAACATTTCGGATCATCTGGAATCTCATTCACAATTGCAAACCTAAACAATAAATACTGAACAGCCAGGTGTATTTTACACAAGACATCTACTTTCCACTCTGCAGGAAAGGTTATCACTACCATTTGTTGTTAAATAGAACATCAAGATGAGCCGGCCCCTAAATAAGTAAAGTAGACAAACGAATAGCCAACTGCAGGCTCTAACATGTTAGGACTGTAGATAAAATTTCGAACTTCAATAAAAGGAAAAATTTATAAAACATAATCAAATAAGTTGTTCAGCAATCTTAAATTAGCACTAACCCATAGCGGGATTGACATCCATCAAATAAACATGCTCTCCGCTGTAACTAAGTAGTACCTCCTCACCATTCGGACTAAAAGTGACATGAGTAAGATGCACATTAGAATGTCCCTGGAAAGAAAGATGAGCCAAAGTAAGTACAAAGGAAGTTTTTTCTTCGAAAAGGCCAAGTAGATCCACAATAATGGCAAAAAAATAAAAATAATAATAAAAAAAAAATACAGCAATACACATAGAGCAAACAGGTCATCCTAAATTCAAACAATACCAAGAGTAATAAACTCAAAATTATGTTGACGTAATTTTCTTCTTTAACATGACTCACTTCCTCAACTGACGCAAGTAGACTGACTAACAGAGAAAATAAAAATGAGAACATCATATCATCTGTCATCCTTCACTAGTAACACAACCCACCAAGTCACTTCCAAGTCTTTCCATTGTTCACCTTTGCATCACCATGTCTTTTGTCAGCTTATCTTAAATATTACAGACAAAAGATTGTCTTCTAGTCACCCGGTCAATAATTCAGATTTCAGAACGCCATCACAAAACTAATCCATGATCCTTTATATAACTGAGACTCTATTAAAGAAAAAGTAGTGATCAAATGATTTGTATATTTTCAAACAGATGTTCCCTGAGGCCTTAGTTGCAAGTATTAGTGTATGAGCATGTGTGTCGCTTCCCCTAACAACATAACCTATTTATAAGTCCTACATCCAAGCAAAGAACAACACTTTTAAAATAAATTAAATAAAGGATAAGAGAGAGCATCTTGCATCAAATAGCATGTTCTATCAGTGAATAAATAGTCAACTAACAATGTCAGAGAGATGTATCGGGCAAAAGTAATTCACACAAGGAGGTGGCGGGGACTTTTTCTGACTAGATGAAAGAGGCGGTAGCATTCGCCTATCATACAAACGTGCAAATGAATCACTGCAAGCATTATACTTATTGATTAGTGGATATATTATAAGTAGTAGAAATACTGGTCAATTAACAATGAAGCACCTGCCACCAACAAGGAGTAAATGAGGCCTAGTGGTACTGATATCACAAGACTTCAGAGCAAGGGATTGCTTTGGAGGATCTGCTAAAGATTTTTTAGCTCCACATCGCAAATCAAGCTGCAATGAAGTTGAAAGTGAAGAAAAGTAAATCTGTGTTTTAAAAAGAGAATGCCAAAGCCACTGAAAATTGTTCAGTCAACATTCCAATTGAAAGAAAAAATCTTATTTTTAGCAACACGTAACATGCTTGATTGCTTAAAAGCCACAAATTTTTTAACAGTAAATGTAGTTCTTTAAACTTTTAGTAACTATGATTATTTAATTCTACAAGATAGCAGCAGAATAGAACTTTTGCTTTTAAGGATTTGGAACTGACAAGGATATTCCGACATTCTTGATGAGAGGACCCCGCAAGAGGACAAGAAACACCCTCACGTAAATCATGTTGCCTCACTGTCCCGTCTTCACTAGCACTCCACACAACACTAGGGTTTCCAACTTCGACCTAGAAAAAGAAACATAACTTCACAGCAGCAGCTACATTGTCAACAAAAATTACTTCGAAGGGACAGTGATTACAGCTAATTTTTTGACCCTCCTTGTGTGACACTGAAAATTTGCCAAAAGGCCACCATTCACCCCCTGTCCACTGCTCCTTGAGTGAGATAAATTAAAAAGACGAACCTGCATGTCACATAAAATTACTTCAATCAAGCATAATTAAAACCACTGTTCAAGAACGCAATCCAGCATAAGAACATTACCTCAGCATCAGCTGCACCAGAAACAACCAACTCATCGGATGTTTCAGGAATGAATTTTGTGCAGAATATGTTAGCGGAATGACCACTCTCAATGGTATGCATAAGTTTTCGTTTTGAGTATGACCAAATATTAATCTGCAGCAAGTACGATGTTTCCAGTATTAGATAATAGATACACTGCAGACGCCTAGCTACACCACTAAACGGAGCTCAAATTTCAAAAAAGGAATGAACGGACTAAGACGTTGAAGCATCATCTAAGTTAAGGTCTACGGAGAGAAAGGTATGTCACTGTCATCAGCTTACAAACATTCTCAACCGGCATCCTTATAACACATTTATAAACAAGGACCATGTTGACGCATTTTCTTAGTATTTTTTATGTAGAACATCGTTCCATTAGCCCACCATCAATACGGTCTGGTTAACAAAACCACGCAATTAATAAAATACATCCTGGAACACAAATAGATACAGATCCCACCAGATACGCACATATAATTCATCACATTAAGAACTCAGCATTATACTCATGTTACCCTGTCCCTCGAGTAATTCCCACAGATAAAGAAGATATAAAGTTGGTATGTATGTCAAACATATGGTCAGTGTGAATCAACTGAGCAGCTCCAGAAACAGTGCAACAAACAACAGTCCATCGTTCGCCATATACCAGTAGTGCCAAGTCAAACAAGACAAACACTCTCGTGTTCAACACCAAGTGAACAGCAACCAAAACCCAACCAAAGGCAAAAATGAAACCAAAGATTAACTGTCTCATGTGGATAGGATAATCAAAATCAGAGATTCCAAAAGCACTCTATACAATACGATACAAGAACATTTTATCGAGAAGGGTACTTCAATGTTAGAGCTAACCCACATTGAGATCATGTTTCCATGGTCCCTACAAAGGCTGAATGTGGCAATGCTGAGCCAAGACACATTTTTTATGTCAGCCAAAAATCAGTATATGAAAAGCAAAAAGGAGCCGATAAAGTGAGCTACCAAACAACCAAAAGAATCAAATGAGTTGAACTTCCAAATCACCAATTAAAAAATTCATTTGGTTGAACTGGAGGCCCAAACTTCAACTTCAGCACAAGACTCTTTCTAGCTTTAAATTCAAACTACCATCAGCAAGATCTTATACAAAATGGCTCAAAGAAATTCATCCCTAGAAATTGATACTAAAGGATGTCATATTGATTTCTGTAGTGCATATACATTTAATGGAACACCGATTAGCTGCAAATCAGCATCACCAGCATCTCTCACATTTAAGAACAAAACACACAAAATCTAAGTTGTGGCCACAAAAAGAGTATAAAGAACAACTGCACAAACTAGTTATGTTGATATCCGGTTCCAGTCAGGCATACGTGAATATGTTGATCAAGCATTTCTTCACCAAAGAAAAATCTCATGGAAATCCAGCAGGCAGAAGTTTTTAATCGAAAGTACGAGTTTCCTAATAATATTTTATGCAGAAATGGATGTGATGTACAAAGGCTAAAATTGTTCTCATATACTCTTTCAAGTGCCTTATGTTTTATTCTTCTTTCAATTGCCAGAGGCATTTCCCTCTGCTGGGAACTTCAGCCTTCCACTACCAGTAGTAAAACATCTATTCAAAATAGTTGGTCACAATAATTTTTCATCATGTGAAGAAATGGATGAGATGAAATGACTTTGAACAGCATGGGTGTGATTTAGATACGAATAGTTTAGTCATTTTCTTTCTTTTCGCATTCATCCCATTTTCGCTCTACTCAAACATGTTCATCATTTAATGCTTGAAACTAGTACTTTGCCTACCAAACACTGTAACAACTACATACAACCAAACGAATATAGATATAAGGTGAAGTTCAGAAAAATCAAAGTATCACAATTGTGTATTGCCCATTCACATTGAGGATAAAAAAAAAAAAAAATTAAAACAAAGGTCGTAACTACAACATGGCAACATGCTAAAATTGGTGGCATCATACTTGTGTATCGTCCGATCCAGATAACAACATTGAGCCCTTTGAATTCCAAGCTATAGCATTTACACATCCACGGTGCCCCTGTTAAACCACAAAGGATAGAACAAGAAACATATGTCTATCATTAAACATATCTGCATCATTACCATCACTGTAACATATCCTAGAAATAATCAAACTACAAAAATTGCAGAGGCATCAAATATTGACATTTAAACAGCATAAGAGTGTCTGTAATGGCTAATAAAAGAAAACAGAAACAGTGTCAACACTCGGGCCTACCGAACCAAATCAATTTTACTCACAGATCAAAATAGTTAATCCACCAAACCTTTCTCGATAAACAACAGCAACTGCAAACTGCACTTCGGAAGTTGGAAACTATAAGCTAATATGCTTTACAGCAAGCCCATAGAAAATTAATAATAATATTAAATAAAGAATAATACTAGACAGTTATGCCCCACAAAATAAGAAAAATAATCAGCAAGATTCTGTAGTTCACTATGCAATGATATCCGAGGCACAACAGAGAGACAGTCATAGTAATGAGGGACACGAGAATATACAGTTTATAAGGCCCAGCCTTATAATTACACCGTAATCATCAGTACAAAAACAGAAGAAATTGGTTCCATCAATAATGAAACCCCAATCAATTGTAACCTCCAAAGAAAGAAGCAATGGAAAATGAAAAGGCTTGTATGGAACTACAAAATTTATTATTTCTCCACAAGAAATAAATATTTAAAAGAAAATCATGGGTAAAAATATAAAGCTCATAACAAACTTTCCCGGTTATAAGGATCATAAAAATATCACCACCTCTAGTTCTCTTTCCAGAGAAATTGCTCGGACAAGTGAGGAATGCATTTGCACAACGGGATTAAAAACCTGTGAATCAAATGACGAAGATAATGTCAGCCTGAGTACAAGATTTGATATCGAATTACTACTTTTGTCATATAGAAGTCATTTACACTGATATAAGCAAAATACTAACACAAAGGTACATATCTCTTTAGTCATGACTCTTTATGCATACCCACAAAAGGCACCTTTAGAAATTCTCAATGGCATGCTTTCTAACAATATGAGAAATTAATCACGGAATTCCTCTCTCCAGATGCTCAAGAGCACAATCACTGTCATTGGGACATTCCAAGATGTCCAACTTTTCTTTGGTATGATAAGATTAGGCCAACAGAGCTTTTCTGCAAACACTACTGTTTAAGTTTTCCGCGTCAAAACCCACTATCCATTACGTTCAGTATACATTCTACATCGCAATTTTAGGAGCAAAAAGATGTGTATAAAAAACTAGTGTCATTCTCTAGTTAACCCTTCATATATTTAAAGGCTAAAGCAAAATAGTTTTACATTCTTTCAAGTACTTCATCCTTTATTGCCAACATCAGAAAGGCTCAAACACAACAAAAGAAAACGCCAGGCCTTAAATGTACATATACATAGACATAAATCATACCCCACGGCTCTAACGAGAATTGCGAAATTAATAAAATTAAGCCAACATAATGTTGAAAATCAACACACACTGAAAATGAACAAATATATATATATAACCAAATTAATGAGTGATGCAGCACAATCTTCCAACATAAAAACGAATATTGCAAGAAACAAAACCAATAGAAGAAAAAAAATACGGAACAGACATGGTGATTGCCATGGAGAGTGCGACTGTGTAGCAAGTCAGCGATGTTGCCGTCGTGAAAGCACATGGAATAATCCATAAGGAGAAGAAATAGCAAGGCCGGCGACGATAGCCGGAATTCACCTCCCGGTGTTTGATCACTTGCCCACCGCAGTTTCCCTATTCCTCGAAGAAGTTCTCTCTCTCCACCTTGCTTCGCACTTTTGACAAGCGTTTCCGGGTACAAAATTACAAATATATGAATTTAATTTGTATTAAATTAAATATGTCAAATAAAATTAATTAATTAATTAAATTATCAAAAGGGTTGTATTGGTACACGTGTAGACAACTGGACAGATCTAGTGCACACTCAGCCCACGAAATTCACTCATTCAGACACAAATACCCTCACAATTTGATGTCCATAATTTTATCACGTTTGCCGTTATTTTTTTTTCTTTTGGGTAAAATATGATTTATGCTTTATGATATGGGTCTAGGTGTATATATCTTAAAATATGATAAATTGATTTCCATAATTTCATTTCAGAACTACATAACGTTGTGCAAAATTATAATATATATATGATAACAATCTAAGTTAAATGAGTTTAAACATAATTATTATTGTGAAGACAACGAAGTGCAACTTGGTGATAAGACAGTTTTAGTTATAACTGAAAAGTTATGAATTCGGGTTATCTAGGTGGGAAAATAAATACACTATTGATCATCTTTTAAAAAGGAAAAGAAAAAACATAATTGTTGTGAAATATGTGAAATTAACACATTCAATACATTAGGAATTGAAGGTTCAAATTGGTAAAGGATAGTGGCAGGCAAATTTGCCTATAAAATGCGATCAAATTGAAGTCAAATAAACACATCAAGAAAAAATAATAATCAATACAATTTTCATATTACGCTCCTACAATCACATATTTAGTTCTGTATCTTTTCTTTCATATTTATAACACGTTATCATAACGAGTGTTCTACTCGACCAATTCATCTATATTGAATACTCACAACGGTAAGAATATACTAGATATATCCATTATATAAAATTATAACAATTACTAATATGTACATCACAATTATTATTGAAAAGTAGGCTCTATCACAATCAATAATATTCGGTGAAATGATATTATAATATTTCTTATATATTACTAATAATTAAGAAAATTAACTCCAAGTTATAAGAATTAATATGCATTATAAATAATATTATTACTTGTACTTAATACCCACATACCGATTTACCTAATAATGTAATTTAAATTTATGACTAGTAATCTTGCACCCCTTGAAGGGATTACCATGTAGTGTGGAGTGCCATTTTATTTGTTTATAACTTTTGTGGTTTGGATTTAGAAGAGACAGAAAAGAAAAGTAGGGCAATAAGACAGTCGATGAATTAGGTACTTGTGTTAATATGCTTGCACTAAGATCTATTGAGGAATTTGGATCAATTCTTGATCTCTTATCACATGAGTCTAGTGAAGGAAATTGAAATAAAATATTATACCATTAAAGTCAAATCATACTAAAATAAGATGAAATAAAAGATAAATAAATTAAAAAAATATATACCACCCCATTGTCGGTATCTTTCCTAAGCATTAGTGTCATGAAATCATATTCCTCATAATAAATAAAAAAAAAAGTTAGAATCTAAATTTCGATATGCATTTAGAAAATAAAATCGGATGTCATGAATTAATTTGAAAAATACACCTCTTTTTTTTTCGAAACGATAGAATTTATAGAAAACAAACGAACATACATACAACTAGACAACAACTAGAATAAGCCAAGCATCCATCTAGCTGAATCTAGGGAGACAACCCTGCGGCGGGTGTCTAGAGTCTACTCTAACTCACCAACAAGATAATTCACAAATCCCACTAGGGATAATTAAGCTCCTACAAAGGAGAATAAACGCAAAAAGACTAGCAAAACATCAAAACACTACACCACACAAACAACACCAACAAAACAACACAAAACACAAAATAAACAGAAAAACACCCTCTTCTCCACAGGCGAGACCACCCGCAACACACCACGATCCGACACCCAGAGACAATCCCCCACTCGGATAGGACTTCGGCTCAAGTACTGCTCCAAAAACTCCAGTGAAGCCACGACTACCTGGAACCGCAACAGACGACCAAAATCTTCTCCTAGATGGACCGCCTCTGGAGCTGAGATCGGAGGCCGACTGACGGCTCCCCCCACTTCTCCCACCGACATCATTCACAACTCCAATCAACCCCAATACCCGCATAACCAACCAGTCATGCCCATCCTTCCGATCAATTATCGCCACCACAGACCCATACTCCTATCCACCCAAACAAACCTAAATCCCCAAACCAGAGCCGAGAAGACGACGAGAGAAGAGGGGAAGTCTTATCTCAACCCTGTTATCGTCAGGTAGACGAATCGAGGTCCGACAAGCTTGCCCGGCTCGGAAGTGTAAAAGCACCGCGCAGCTGACATAGGCACCTTGGCAGAAATGGCGAAACCTACGGCGGGGGTGTCTTCGGCTCCAAGAGAAGCGAGCTGCGTGGCCAGCGGCGGCCGGAACCGGGCCGCACGGAGGGCCCTGTGAAGAGGAGGCGGCGTTGATGAAGCACGGAACCTGCTGCGCTAGAGATTTGGAAGAAAAGGGCTTTTTAGAGAGAAAGGTGTTGACGAAGGCCTCCTCTTTTTCAACTTCCCAATTCTTGTACTTGGACACCAAAGTTTCGTCAATCACAACTCGAACTTCACAGTTATACGAAATCCCTATAATAAAAAAGTAAATTAAGCATAAGTACATGAATTATTTAATTAAAAAGAAAAATAGAAATATATATAAACGAATATGAATTAAATCCAAAATATAACCTTTTCATCGTGGAAAAGGATCTCCACTAAATTCTTATAGTCAACCTCAAATTTGTGTGAAATAATTCTAATCGCACGGAGCTTCATTGGTAGTTTTTAGTTCAAGTAACATCTTTGATCAAACCAAATTCACTCTTCATGTTTAATTAATTTGTGTACTAAGATGCAAAAATCGAGAAAATGATGAGTAAACAGCATCAATATATAATGAATTTATAGGAGAAGGCCAAAGTCTCTTTTAGTTTAATCCCATAAATATGTGATATGAAAATATCTTAAGAAAGACAATAATTATAATTTGACTCAAAAGAATATTACATTTGATATGAAATATATAATCATGCCACAATTGGCAAAAGATTGAGCAATATTACGTTGATTTTTAAATCTGTCCATTTCATGGAATCTATATTTATTGTGATTTGAAGGATACTGTTGATTATGGACGCAGGATTCCTCTCGCAATGGAACCCCCGATTTCTCTCGCTGGAGATGACGAAGTGTCTCTAATGAAGGCCGATTAGTAGAGATCATTCTCTCATCCCTGTTTTCTTAACCCATCCTTGATTTCTTGTCTTCCTCCTTTTTTATCGTTTCTCATTATTGCTTAATTTTCACGATCGAGTTCTGGTGTTATTATCAGGTTGAGGAGTATTCTGGGATTTCTCCTCCTTCACAAGGTTAACATCTCAAGATTCTCGTTATGGAAGAAGACATAGTTCAGAAACTAACATCGATTCAGCTCTCCAATAAAGAGGCAAATCTCTTAGCCCTAAACCTAGAAGATATTCAGAAAAGTGCAGAAGTTTGTAAAAGGAGTCTCTTTGGTAAAATTCACGGACATAAAAAAGCTCAGCTGCCAGGGCTTAGGCGTGCTGTGGGGATTATCTGGCAAATTCGGTCTCCTGTTTCTATCAGAGAAATTAGTACAAATTATTTTCAGTTTGTGTTTGAGGATATCGAAGACAAAATCAAAGTTAGCAAAGGTACTGCTTGGACATTTGAAAATCAATTTCTCATTCTCAGAGATTGGCAGGAGGACTTGCATGCTAATCATCCTAGTTTCAAAGAACTCGACATTTGGGTGCAAGCATGGAATCTACCGCTCGACTGGCACTCTACTGAAGTGGGTGCTAAAATTGGTATTGTTTTCAAAAAGGTCATCAATGTCTCTATCCCACAGACAGGATGGTTAGCAGGTAAATGCTTAAGGCTTCTTGTCTCTATCGATTTAGAACAACCACTGCTCAGATGTACCGCCCTCCAGCTTAATGATAAAAAGACTGTGGTTGTTTTTAAGTATGAGAAGCTGGTTAGTCTTTGCTTCTACTGTGGATTACTGGGTCACTTGGACAGGATCTGTGAAGTTAGATAAGAGGATATCTCTAATGGTTCTGTAAAAGAGGGATCATTTGGGGAGTGGCTTAAAGCCTCGGATTATCCACTTCTCAATTCTCAACCCTCTCAAAACATAAACCCAGAACCTCCCATTCCAAGCTCTTCAAACATTTCTAAACCCCTACTTGTATACAAGCCATCAACCCAGATATCAGAAGATGCAGATCTCATTGTTAAATCCCATATACATCCTAATTCCACTGACCACCAGATCACCCCTCAACAACTTCCCCTTCCTCCACCAGAAACTGTTAATCCTTCAAATGCAAATCATGTTGATCTTATGGTAGAGGAACCCATACCACTCCCAGAAAATCTTACCCAAAACCCTAATTAATCCTATGAAACTAATCTCATTCCTTCTCCAAGTTCTAAACCTAAGACATGGAAGAGAATTCCATCCCAAAAACCAAAAACAGAATCCCAATCATCATCATCTTCTCATATTCTCCCTTTAGGTAAAAGACAGCTGACAAACATATCACCTCCTAACTCTCCTAGCCATATCCAAAATGACAACTCTTTTCATTTTTCTCATTGTCCTAAAAAACAGAAAATTGTTCTGTCAGTAATGAGGGAGGCCAACCCAGAATGGCCCCACCCCCATCAATGAACATAATATTTTGGAACTGTAGAGGGTTGGGTGGCTCCTCTACAGTCTCCCAGCTTAAGGAGTGTGTCAGACTCCACACCCCAATTTTAACCTTTTTGTCTGAAACCAAAAAGAATAATAGTTTTGTTAAAACAGTTTGCAGAAATTTAGGTATTGGAGACAACTGGTCTTCTTTTAAACCTATTGGCAAAAGTGGAGGTCTCCTCTTATTTTGGAACTCTGCCATTACTATTTTGCAAATTTTGAAGAACTCTTTTTGTGTTCAAGTGAATTTTCGGGACCGTAACTTGCAAGCCTCTTGTTGGGGGATATTCATATATGCCAGC